ACCCAACTCCCTAAGTCTCTCCTCATAAGGCATGGTTTCCAGACCTTTTACCACCAATTTGGTCACCCTCCTCTGGGTACATCCCAGCTTTATCTTAAACATAATAATGAGTTAAAAAGAGGTTTAAAAGATTAAAAAGTTTTAATTTGGGATAGATGAATGAGGCCCAAAGACCCCATGCTTTTCCAATGGCGCCAAGGAGAGACCATTCCATAGTTGGGAAGGCCCTGTCCTACATCCTCATACCTCACCAGTGTGAACAGGGGAGACACAGACATGGAACACATATATGGTGGACACATATATGGTAGACACATATATGGAGAAGCTTGCCCTCAAGTATCGAGGTCCCAAGCCATTTAGGGCTTTCAGGATTGCCATGAGCACCTTGAATTCAGATCAGAAGTGCCCTGGTAACCAGTGCCATTCTTTAAGGCATGCATTAGATACTGTCTGTATGGTGTAATTGTGTGACTCCAGGACCCTTTCACACTGCACAGTTATAGTGTTATGACTCCACTTTCACAGTCATGGCTGCATCCTCTGGAATCCTCAGGTTCGTAGTTTGGGGAAGCAACAGAGTTTTCTGGCAGGGAATTATTAAGTACCCCTTCTTCGCCAAATTGCAAATCCCAGGATTTCATACGACAAAACCATGGGAACTGAAGTGCAATCAGAGAATGATAACTGTGTAGTGTGAAACCACTTGGGGAGACCAGGTTTTGAATCCCTGGTCATCCATGGAGACCCATTGAGGGTGCATCTACGCTGTAGAAATAATGCAGTTTGATAACACTTTAAGTGTTTTAGTTCCATTCCATGGAGCCTTGGGATTTGTAGTTTTACAAGGTCTTTGGCCTCTGCCAAAGTGTGTTGGTACCTCACAAAACTACAAATCCCAGGGTTTTGTAGGATGGAACCATAGCAGTTAAAGTGGTGTCAAACTGCGTTATTTCTACAGCACAGATGCTTCCACTGTGACTTTGGGTTAGTCACAGTCTCTCAGCCTCAGAGGAAGTCAATTGCAAACCGCTTCTGAATAAATCTGGACAAGAAAACTTGGATAGGGTCACCATCAAAGAGAGCCAGTGTGGTGTAGAGGTTTGAGCATTGGACTAAGACCCTAGAGACCAGGATTCGAACCCTGGCTTGGACATGTGAACCCACTGGGTGACCTTGGGCATGTCACACTCTCTCAGCCTCAGAGGATGGCCAGGGGCAAACCCCTCCTGAACAAACCTTGCCAAGAAAACCCTGGGATAGGTTTGCCTTGGGGTCCCCATAAGTTGGAAATGACTTGGAGACACACAACAACAGGGTCATCATAAGTTGGCTTGAAGGCACGTAAAAACAGCCAGTTTTACAGTGAGGAAATGCTACAAAGCCTAGGAACTGCAAGTCCTCAAAGGGTAACAGATATGACTCTCTCCTCTCTGTTACATACAGACACATGCATCAGTGCCATCCTCCCTCCCACATCCTTTTAATTCAATCCGAACAGTTGCGTGAATCTCTTTCCTTGCAGGAAGCACTTGTTTCGAAATCTTGCCGTAGCATTTCAAGTACAGAAGAGACAGCCCTTCGCAAGGTGCTGGAAACTCAAAAGCAATTAACAGGCGGAGTAATAACCCACAGTAGCAGTGGCATTTCTATACATGTTGTCCTGATCCTTCAGAAGACAAGTGGCGCACAACAAAGAGAGAGTGGATGCTGTTTGTGAGTCCGTTGCCAACGTTCACCTACAAAGTTTGGATGAGTTCATTACTGTGTACCCGGCATTAGCCCACGCACATAAACACACGTGGAAACAGGCTTACCAAGGCCCTAATGCAACATCCACAAGAATTGGAGAGTATCTTTCCAAAAAGGAGGACCGAAAAGGACCATCCTCTTGTAAGACTGAATTGTGTCACACTGGCTATTTTCTCCTATTCTGCAATGTAGATGCAA